TTTCAAAGGACACAGGATGATCATGGTGTGAAGTAGTTTTAAGAAAATTGAAAATTGCATTAGTGAGAAAAAGGCCAAGAAAGTTGTGCAAAGGAAGTTTTTTGTTTTTTGTTTTTTTTTGCCCCATCATGACAATGTGCTTGTTCAGTTTTTGAGGGTAGCAAGGGCTGCCCTACGAGTATTTCATTGGGGCACCTCACTTACTCCATCTACCCTCCAGCCTTTGATCTGGTCCCTTCACATTCCTTTTTGTTCTCCAAACTCAACATTTAAAAGAACAAATTTTGTGGCTTTTGAAGATGCCAAACCTGCAGTTTTGACATGGTATATATATCAGAGAGTCCAAAATATGTCAGAGAAGGGTTAGAGGAATGGAAACACTGTCTTCAGAGGTGAGGAGACCTAGATGGAAGCTAGGTCAAGAAACAGTAGCTTCACATTTTGGTATGTTTGGTTAATAAAGGTTTCTGTGATTTTGTGGCAATACTATTTGACTTACCTTAGTATATTTTCATTAGTCTTTTGTTCCTGTTGTTGTGTTGATGTGTTTTCCTGCCAGTCTCTTTTTCATATGTGTGTTTTTTACAGAATCATCCTTTAGTGTTCCTGCAACAAAGCTTTTGTATCGCTGCACTGTTTTAAGAGCTATGATTTTTCAATAGCTATTAAGCCATTGAGAGAATGTGTTCTGTGCCATCTGTAGCTGGATATTTCAGTGGTTTTTGCTTCTCTTCTATTATAAATAATGGCACCATGAATACCTTTGCAGGTGCAGGTGTCAGCATATTTAGAACATCTTTCTTTAGGATGGTCTTTCAGGGGCTGGGTCAGAACACCAAGGTTACTCGGGTCTCTTTGTGTGCTGTCACTCTGGGGACAGTTGTCCTTTCTGGTTCTATGATACTTAGCCTCATCTCCAAAGCCAGTAGGACATCTCAGAGCTTCCCAAACCATTGGTGATTTTCTACCTCTCAGAGAGAACGATGCTGAGTTTTTCTGTAAAGTTCATAAGGTATATATTCTAAATGTTTGGGACCTAATGTGAATTCACACTGGGAGCTTGTGTAGGGTGTAAGATGAGGAAAGCCGGGAGACATCACACAGAGCTCCATCACAGCCAGGGCCTGTGAAGCACACGGGAGAAGATTTCCAAACCACTAGAAAACAGGACCCTTCAGGGCAGAGCTCCAGCCTCCCTCTGCTTACCCGCCTCTTCTCTGTTACCTCACAGCCAGCTTGAAGGAAATGTACCTTGGGCCCGAGCTCTGGTGGACCTTACTGACCGAGCCTTTATTTACTTCCTCCCTGCCTTCCCTGCCCTGCCTGTCCTCACTACCCTCTGGGCACCTCACCCATAGTCTCATCTACCAGATTGTGACTCCAGAGGGCAAGAGCTATGCCCTGTTTATCTTGGTGTGCCTGTCACACTGCTTGTAACTGTTGCTGAATGAAAAGAACTGAATTATGGAGCTTTTGATTTGTTATAAATTCAGTAAAAAGCTAGCCTGTCTGAGCCCTTTGGGCACTGAGGCAGGGTTTTAGGTTACTTCTCCTTTGTAGGTGAAACATAGCCCTCACCATTCTTTTAAACAACTACCTGACCCACTTAAGAGCCAGTTGATGCTCAGTGGTTGATGCTGTTGATTTCCTGTTTGTGATTTGGAGTAAAAGCTGAGGGTCCTCGGTCAGGCCAGTCATTGTGGTCTTTACTCACAAGGCACTCTCTGCATGTGTCTTACCAAGAAGGTCCTCAAGAACCACCTCTTTGAAGGCCAGGGCATGCAGAACTAAGTAGAAGCCATTATCATGTTCATGCTCAGTGCCTTAAGAGATCAGTGTCCCTCTGGAGCAGAGTCATTCCTTCAACCACTTATTTATGGGCCTTCCTTTGGTGGTCAGGCAGTGTCCTACACTTTGATGAAGAGAAATTTGGGGCCCTACCCTCTTAGGGGACAGACAGAGCTAGATTCAGGATAGGGCTCAACTGCAACCCTTGAGCTCTTGAGCAAAATAATTCCCCTCTCTGAGTTTGGGCTTTTTCCAGCCACAACTGGAAATACACCTCCCTCACAGGGTGGTTGTGAGGATTAAATAGGAGGTGTGTGCCTTTTACATTCAAATTCTCATCTGAGTCACAGAAAACAAAAACTGATTGGAGAGATGGTTTTCCACAGTTCTCTCAAGGATGGAATGCAACTAATACTATTTAGATGTTCAGAGAAAAGTTAATTCATTGCAGACAATGAGTGCTTCAGGGCTGCAAGAATTCTCTTAAGGACTAGATTAACAAAGACTGGTAGAACATTCTTTTCTGGTAACTTGCCATAGTGGCCAATTTTGGGGTGACTAGATTTTTTTAGATCGTCAGTGAGTGGTGAGCCTGGCACTTAGTAGACGCTCCATAAATGCCAACTCTCTTTATCCTTCTCTTCTCCCTTCCCCCAAACAGATTTCAGCTTCTCTTAAAGCCACCCACATGTTTTAGAGAGTCCCAATTGCTTCAGACAGGGAATGAATACCCACAGATTGTTCTAGGCTCTTGTTCTGGGCTCTAGAGCTGCTGCTGCTGAGATGCAGGTGCCTCCCTTTTCTGAGCATAGGAATTTGGGCAGTGCCATCTGGAGAATGAGGAGGGCCTACAGCAGGCAGGCATGCATGCATTCGCCATTTACTGTGAGCTGTGCTCTGTTGCAGGCCCTTCACTAAGCATCGAAGAACTGCAAGTATAAATTAGAATTCAATGTATCTGGCTGCATATGGCTTATAGCTTTCTAATGTAGATAGAATTTATTCATGGGAAGCCCAGTGAGAGGTTCAGGGACCAAGTCTTTTAGACTTTAGAACAAGGAGGAGAGATCAGTGTTGACAAGGTAGTCAGCCTCTCCATCTCCCACCCCACCCCCAAAATCCCCTCCTGACCAACATCAGTAAAGGAAACAGCCCCTCTCTATGGCCTCTCTATGGGCCAGGTGTGTGTATGCCAGCGCCTGAAACTGAGCCACCCCTCTTGTCTGCTGCTCCTCCCGTACTGACTCACTCCTGTAACCAGTTCTTAGATGGCAGCTCTAATTTCAGTGACTCTAATTTCAGCTCACTCACTCATCTGTGGATTGGGGTCTGCGGAGTCAGAAGAGGAACAGATACGAAGTCCAGGTCTTCCTTACATGAGGCCAGTCCTGTAATTCTTAGAGAAAACCATGATTTGTTCAACTAACTTATAAACTCCAGGCCTCTAGTTCCGGTTTACTTCTCCAACCTCACCTTATCACTCTGTCCAAGTTGCAGGAGCCACCAGTTGGGAGTGTTGGCCAACAGGAAGGACATGTCCGCAATGTTTTTGCAGGGGGTTGGTGAGGAGTAAGGGCTGCAGAGGATGAGGCGCGCTCACACCCAGAACTGGACTGAGTTTGGACTTTGTGTCCAGCTTGGGGCTAGGCTCTGGGCAGAGCTGCCATCTGGAACTGGGCAGCAAGATAGAGTTAGTTCTGTGAAAAAGTCAGAACACATTTGGTGCTCATTGAATGTCTGGTGGTTATGTGCCGTGGAGTCGCTTCTGACTAATAGCGACCCTGTACAGCTGTACAGTTCCCAACGCTGTAACTCTTTACGGAAGCAGAAAGCCTCATCTTTCTCCCGTGGCACCGGTGGTAGTTTCAAACTGTTGATATATAGATGGTCACAATGGGGAACCCCAAAACCCACTGCTGTCGAACCAATTCTGACTCATTGTAACTCTATAGGACAGGCTAGGAATCGTCTTTAGGTTTCCAAGACTGTAAATCTTTACAGCAATAGACTGCCACGTTTTTCTCCCATGGAGTGTGACTGGTGGGTTCGAAGCTGAGTGCCTAAGACTCCTTCAGAATAGGGAGGGAGCTCCCATTCTGAGACCTAGGACAAGCTCATTTCATTTACCATGGCAATGTCGGGTTCCTCCATCAGCTGACGGGGTTTATTTTGGAGGGTCTCTACCTAGTGTTAACAGTGTAGCTCCAAGTTCAGTGTAAAGAGGCTTCCTGGTGAGGTGAGGCTGGCCCTGAGCCTTTGGCTGAATGGTGAGAGGCCCAAGGTGCTAAGAACAGGGGAGCATACTCTCCCAGACCCTGAAGGGCAGTCTGTCTACCCATCACAGCTGTGTCTCTCAAGCCAGGCATTCCTGTGGAGCTGGACCTGAGCCCCGTGTCCCTTATAGGAAAGGATGAAGACGAGTCCGCCTCAGAGCAGCAGGAAGGCAGAGAGCATGAAGAGGAGGGTGGCAGGGAGCCAAGTGCAGGCCCTGGCCAGAAGGTCTGGTCTTAAGCAGAGATCAGAGGGGGAAGGGAAGATGGAAAACTCTGGAAAAGACTGCATTCTAAGGACAAACTTTTGAAAACCCGTTTTCCTGGATTTCTAGCTGAGTTCTTCATATCTGTACTCATGGCAAGTAGTATCTGCTTTTAAGAGGAAAATGTGGCCAGTTAGCAGCAGGCTTTTATATCAGAGCCTTGACTGAGCTGTCCTCTTAGTGATGAGGAATAAATACTTCCTTCAGGTAATAAATAAGTACAGCTCTACTGAAAGAATAAATAGTGAAAATAAGTCTCCACCCTGTTAGTCCTCCCTTCCCCCAAAACAGACAAACACACCCAAGCCACAACTGCACTCTTTGGTGTAACTGCTAGGAACAGTTCGAGCTTGCAGAGAACACGAAGAAGAATGTGACTCACGGTGCCTGTCCCTAGGCCTCTCTCCTGGGAAGTCAGCTGAGCCGAACCCCCTCCTCTTCCAGAATGAGGGGAGAGACTGCAGCAATGGTGTGCCGAGGGCCAGGCCGAGGTGTCCTCTGGAGAGGCTTGTCAGGACACCAGAAAGGGAGGTCAACAGCCTCACTCCAGCCCCTTGCCACTGGGACTGCATGCTGGCCTCTGGAGGCACCAAGAGATGCTGAGCTCTTCCCCTCAAACTTGTCATCTCTCCTCAGTGTCTGATTGTCTCTCTCTTTTTAATTTGTGACTTTTCAGGATCCCTCCGTGACCCAGCTAACCAGTGCCCCACAGGGTGGCCTGGCTGAATTCAATCCCTTCTCAGAGGTTGGTGAGCATGCTTTCTTCCTGAATCCTCTGGTCCTCTGGGAGGTGTTGGGGTCTTGACAGAGACAGAGACAGCTTTGAGTGCCCTCCAAGGAATAGTCCTAAAGTGGACTCAAGTTGGGGTGAGGAGGAAGAAGTCACCAAAGACTTTGTGAAATTCTTTTCTTGAGAATCATGAGTTTCTCTCTGAGCAGAGTAGCCTGCCCTGAGGAAAGGAGATTCAGTCAGGCCCAAGGATGCTACATTAAAACATCAGACTGGCCAAGAAGTGGCAGAGGCCGGCCCAGAGGGAGTGCCCTGCATAGTCAAGGACCAACGTCCATCAACCTGTATGCTCCTGGGCTTACCTTGCTGTGAATTTGCCCCTCACATCTCTCCTCTGATCTGTCTCATGCAGACAAATGCAGCAACAACGCTTCCAGTCACACAGCCTTCTGGGCCCTCACAGCCGGCAGTTCTCCAGCCTTCAGTGGAACCGACCCAGCCCACCCCCCAGGTACTGTTGACAAAGAGCCCTTTAAGCTCTCCTCTCTAGTGAGGGAATCACCTAGACCAATAACTGAGTCCTGAGGTTGGGGGTGGACAGAGGGCTCTGCTTCAGGGATTTTTTGGAGCTGGTCACTTAAATGTTGAAAGTGGAGGGACTGCTCAGCCAACTGATAACCCCTTCCTGTTCTCAAATCACCTACCACCACCATACAAAAAGCTCAACACCAGGCTGTGGTCCTTGGTGTCTTCAGAAAGGAGCGTTTGTCTCTGTTGTACCACTCCAGAATCTCCGGAGCCTTTGGATGGGTCTCTCACTCAGGGTCTGAATCTCTTCCTATTTTCCACCTGGCCGCTTTCTTCTCCTTTGCCCTCCAACAATTACTGTGACTCTTGCCTGCTGTCTATACTCCGCCTACCGCCTCACTGCCCACCCCCATGGTTCTTGCTGTCCCCTTGAGCAAGACCCACAGTGGAGTTGTGTGTTGCAGCTTCTGCTTAGACAAGCCAGCAAGTTCCTGCCTACCAGGTTCCTGGTAGTGAGCGAGCTCTCAGAGAGGCAGATGCTGCTAGGAGGAGATAGTATTCTCAGGGACAGCTACATGCGAAAGCTTTCGAAGGTAGGCAGAGTGTAGATGAGTACAAGGGAGGGCAAGGCACCAGGAGCCGTCACAAGTAGGGCTTGGTCCTAGCGGGCCCCAGGTCACTCCCTAGGTCTGGCTGGAACACTCCCTAGAACCTGTGAGGGTGAGGCAGACTTGTCTTGTTTAGCTGGGTGGTGGGCTGTAGGGACCTGATGCCCGTCAACTGAAGTCACAGACCTGGGGAGAGGAGGCTGAGACCCTCAGTGTAATTCAGCACAGTCAGGTGTGTGGGAAACTTACTTCCCAAAGGCAAACTTAGCTCTTTGGAGAACTGCTTTTGAAGAGGTTGTATGTGTTCGTGTGTTTGTGTATGTGTGTACATGCTTGGCCTATCACCCTACAAAATGATTTGATATACCCCCAAAACTAAATTGAACCCTCTGCCATTGAGTCAGTTCTGGCTCAGAGCAACGCTACATAGGGTTTCGAGACCCAATTTTATAGGAACAGAGAGCCTCACCTTTCTCTCGTGGAGCAGCTCGTGGGTTTGAACCACCAACCATTTCCCATAGCATCATCAGGGCTCCCTGACATTTGATATATGCTCCCTAAAATTAGCTAGATCATTTTTAAGGCAGAACCTAGTCTAAACAGCTGTAGCACCCCACAGGAGCAGAGCCCTGGGGCTGGAACATCAGGCCTTGGTATCGGTTCTACTCAGCCTGGCAGCGCTTAGAGACCTCAGCTTAGAGAGCTGATCAATTCAAGTTTGGAGTCTGCATCTGCTGAAAACCAGACAGAGCAAGGCCAAGGACAAGGGGCTGCCCTGGGCAGAAGCCAGTCACAACTCAGTTAATCCTTTCAGTTCATGTAGCCCCAGTAGGTGCTCCTAGGAACACAGCAGGGGTACTTCAGTACAAATCTCAAGGCTCAGGTACACGACCACCTTCAAGTGTCTGTCTTCCCTCCTGCTCATTGTCAGCTGGTTTACACTGCTCTGCCTTCACACTCATATCCCTCCAGGCTCCTCAAGGGATGTGTGGGTCTTGGTTTCTGGCTGTGGGTTATAATCTCAGAAGGTCCCTTTCCATTTGTTACCCCAAAGGTCTCTATTGCTGGGCATTTTCTAGATTCCAGTGTGGGGAAGGAGAGGGAAAGCCACTCAGGATAGTTCAAAGAGAAAGGGGAGAGGAGGGCTCTGGTGATTCTAAGGGGTCACAAGTGGTGTGGGGGCAGTAGGAGACAGGTCACCTTTACCTCCCTGTGGGGATATCCAAGATGCTCTTATGGGGCTGGGCCTGCCTTGGGGACTCCCTGCTGGCTCTCCCTGCAATGGGACAATCTTCCTGCCCAGGCTGACAGTTTCCCTGTCTTGTGTCTGGTTGCACCCTCTGCCTTCGTTCCCTCCAGGTCATCGTCTCTGCAGCCCAGGCAGGCCTGCTTCGTCAGCAGGAAGAGCTGGACAGGAAAGCCGCTGAACTGGACCGCAAGGAGCGGGAGCTGCAGAACACTGTGGCCAACTTACATGGTAAGGGAGGCTGCCGGGGACCCCGGGACCTGCAGGGAAGGCCCTCCCGGCTCTCATCCTCAGTCACCTTGTTCCTGGGCAGCTTGCTGGTTCTGGGCAAGAGCAGTCAGTGGGCAGTCAGGAGACCTACAGGGTGGTCATGAGAGATAGAGTATTTCTGAGATCCTTCTTAGCTCTCAAATGCTTTGATTCTCTGTGGGGTTGTTGGCCCCACAAGTCCTTGCTCATGCTGATGTTGTGGATAAAAATAATCATATATGTCATTTTGCCCTTTGAATTTCACAGTACCTTTGGGTCCATTGTCTTGCAGTGAGCATCTGTGTGTCCTTGGGTCCCATCACCCCTTTCCTATCCCGCTCCATGTTCCATGAGCTCTGTTTTGGCCCATCAATTGGACCGGTTCTGAGGCTGGGCTCCCCCTCATCTTCTCCTCCCCCGTCCACACAGTGAGAGAGAACAACTGGCCGCCCCTGCCTTCCTGGTGCCCTGTCAAGCCCTGCTTCTATCAGGACTTCTCCACAGAGATCCCTGCTGACTACCAGCGGATATGCAAGATGCTCTACTATCTCTGGATGTGTGAGTCCTGCTCCTGCTTCTCGGAGCCCACGGGTGAAATGGGTTGGGATTCCAGAGCCTGTCTGTCCACTGGCTGCTCCTCTCTGAAGATTTCTGCAGACTCCAACCACCCTCAGTGTTAGACCAAGTGGAGAGGTACCTTCTGCCATATAATTGGTCCTCCCAGTCAGCTAGCTCCCTGGCAACCTCCCTACAAGGGAAGTTCACACCACAGGTCATGTAGGGCAGGATTAGCCAGGTGAGCTTCCTGGGAGTGAATTATACAAGGGGTTTCAAAAAGTTCATGGAAAAATGGGGTGAAAAGATAATGGAGTTTTTCCACAAACATTTTTAAACCCCTTCATACCAAGGCTTTAGGTAAAGGCCTTCTCGTTCCCACAGGCCCCTCTCCTAGGAGTGAGTAAAAAGACTTTTTGTAGTTCTATTGTGAGCCACTTGGGATCTGGGAAAAAGGAGTTGACTGAAAGACTTTGTGCATCAGTCTGGATCCACAATACCTGGACTCTCTTAGCCCTTTGGAGGAGCTTCATTTGGTCCTCAGTTTTGAAATATCAGAAAGCCAGGACTTGGGAGGTGACCCTGTTAGTTCTGCAGCTGCCCTCACAGCATGGACATCATTTCTTCTTCCCGGGGGTGGTGTGACGTGGTGGGAGCATGTTAACCAGCCATCCTCATGCAAGCCCATTTCTCTCTCTCCCCTCCTCCCTCCGCAGTGCATTCAGTGACTCTGTTTCTGAACGTGCTTGCCTGCCTGGCCTGGTTCACAGCTGACCCTTCCAGGGGAGTGAACTTTGGCCTCTCGATCTTGTGGTTTCTCATCTTCACCCCCTGTGCCTTCCTTTGTTGGTACCGACCCATCTATAAGGCTTTTAGGTGAGTGGGCTGGGCCACAGGTGAGTGAGGATCTGGGTATTGCATTGCAGGTAGCAGGCCTAGGGTCATAAGCCCTGGGAACCCCATCCCAGTCTTGAAGCAGAAGAGAATGATGAGGAGATTCAATTCCCTTCCCCACCAGTAGCCAGAGCAGACAGATCAGGAGCTTGTCCTTGGAGCAGGCACAGGCGAGCCAGAGAGCAGGATCAGAAGCCGTGCCTGCCCTCCTGCTGCTTCCAGACTACTTGATGGCTACAATTCTAACCACTTCCTTCTGAGGCTCAACGGTGTGCTTTACTGATAGAGCTGGATCGATGCTCTCAGTGACTTACCTGTGCCTCTTACCCCCTCTTCCCTCCACCTACCCATATGAATGAATTAATGAACCCACAGTACAGACTGCTAGTGGTTCTGAAATTGTACCTCACAGATGATGGTGCTCCAGGGCTGGGAGGCTAGCAAGATCCTAGGAAGAAGAGGCAGGACAGCAGCTGACCGTTCATGTATTCAGCAGAGGACCTAAAGGCCTCACTGTGTTCTGAGCCTCAAGGACCCAAAGATGAGGGGCTCAATCCTTTGTGTTATGACTATGTTTCTTACTCATACACCACCTCCTTCATCCAGGCCTACAGTTTGAGATTTATGCTGTCAGCTTAAGGTTTTTTTTTTTATTTTTGTACCTGTTATGAAATCCAAGTAAATGCTCTGGAAGATGGAGCCTTAAGCTGTTTATATTGTCCTTTGTGGGAGCTACTTTATCAGCTCTTTGATTAGACGTGCTTTGAATTGGAAGGCAATGAAAAGCGAGCCTTCCTGGACTATGGTGGTAGGTGTCCATATGTATATGTCCTCCAGGACAATGTGGCTGGTCCCCTGAGCTCTGCTCACTGCCTTATCTGGCCTCCTGGCTCCTAGGCTCCGCAGCTGACCTACTGAGTGAGCAATGTGACCCAGGCCCTCTGGTGACTTCTTATTTCCTGTTCTCTCCACAGGTCGGACAACTCTTTCAGCTTCTTCGTGTTCTTCTTTATATTTTTCTGTCAAATAGGGATCTACATCATCCAGTTGGTTGGCCTCCCTGGGCTGGGTGACAGGTGAGGTCTGGGACAGCCTTGAGGGAATTATGCTTTGGGCATGGGGTTCAGTCTCTCTCACCCTGTTTTCCAACTCCCAGATGACCCACCTCCTACCATGGCAGAGAAAGGGGCAGGTGGACCAGCTTGGTCGCAGGCCAAACGATATGCCAGGGTGCTCAGTTTCTCACTAGTAGCCACTTACTGTCTTGCCTTGCTCTGTACTTTCTGAAATGTCCTGGGTGAACTTGGCCTAAGTCCTTAGGCTGCCAGAGCTGTGCCCTGCACTGGACTGTACCCCCTCCTTTTCTCCTGCCCCATCCTCCTGGAGGCTGGTGCTATTTACACAGGCCCCCAACAAGCACTGTGGCCGTTTTCATGGGTCCTGTGACTCGAGATGGAGCCTGAGCCTTCCCCGGAGAGGCTGCCTAACACCCTGTCTGAGTGTACTGCTGGCTCGAGTTTCATGAGCACTGACTGCAATTCTTAGCTCAAAATTAGTGTCAAAAAGAAGAGAGCTGCTGTCTGATGTTTGTGCCCCAGTATGCTGGGAGCATTGCAGAAAAGGCAGGCTGGCACTGGCCTGACAGCCTGAGCCTGGGTGGGTGGGGGGGCACAATTTTAGCCCCTTTCTTTCAAATAAGCTGGCAAGTCCAGGGCAGTGGGGAGAGGACTGACTCACTATGTACTCAAGCACATGCATGCTACCCTCCCACCAACTTTCTTCTCAGTTGGTTCTCTGTCCGGCCCTTTCTTTTTCACCATTGAGCTCATTTCATCACTCATGAGCTCCTGGGAGACGGGCTCTGAGTCATAACTGCTAATGTTTACACTCTTGGCTGGGAATCAGAGACGTGAGTTCGGTTCCTCACTCTGCCCGTCACCTCTAGACTAGATGAGTGTTGCAGACTCAGCCTCCTAATGCTTTCTAGAGTCTTCTGTGACCGTTTTCTCATTTCACTTCATAGCACCAGGAAAATGGGTAGGTGATATTCCCCTTTTTTGTTATCAGTTTTTTAAAAAATTTGTTTTATTATAAATATATATAACAACATATATATATATTGTAAATATATATAACAAAATGCCATGTTAAAGTACACAATTTGATAGCATTTAGTACATTCACAGTGTTGTATAGTTACCACAAGGAAACTCTATGACCGGTAGGTCCTTAGTCCCCCTTCCCTCCTCCTCAATCCCTATCAAACACTACCCTGGTTTATATTTTCCTCTATAAATTTTCATATTCTGGATATTTAATATAATATAATACATGGCCTTTTGTGTCTCACCTTTTTTCATAATGTTATCAGGGTTCATCTGTGTTAAAGCATGTGGCAGTACTTCATTTCTGTTTATGACCAAATCATATCCCGTTATATGAATATACGTTTTATTTATCCATTCATCAGTTGATGGACATTTGAGTTGTTTTTACCACTTTTGGTTTTATGAATAGTGATGATGAGAATTTTCGTGAACAAGTTTTTGTTTTAATGCCTCTTTGGAGTCTTTGAAGTATTATAAAACTACGAGTGGAATTGCTGGATCAGAAAATTCTATTTAGCTTTTTGAGGAGCCACTAAACTGTTTGCTACAGCAGCTGTGCCATTTTACATTCCCACTAGCAATCCATGGGGGTTCCAGTTTCTCCTCATCCTCACCCACACTTATTTTTCATTTTCTGGTGTAGCACTGTGGGTTAAACACTGGACTGCTAACTGCAAGGTCAGTGGTTCAAGCCTACCAGCCACTCTTTGGGAACCCTATACAGGGGCCGCTGTGAGTCAGAACAGACTCAGCAACACCTTGGCCTTCCTAGTAGGTGATATCTCATTATGGTTTTGATCTTCATTTCCTGAATGACTAAAGATGTAGAACACCTGTTCATGTACTTGTTGGCTATTTATAGATCTTCTTTGGATACATGTATATTCAAGCCCTCTGCCCATTTTTTAATTGGGTGGTTTGTTTGCTTTTGCTGAGTTATAAATTTTTTTATTCTAGATACTACCCCCTTATCCAAGGAGCTCTGGTAGTGTAGTGGGGGGCTGCTTACTGTACATCAGTAGTTTGCATCTTCCAGCTGCTCTGTAGGAGAAAGATGAGTTTTTTTGCTCCCATAAAGATTGGCAGCCTCAAAAACCCTACACAGAATCGATATGAGTCAGAACTGAACAGACACCACCAGCAGCCCCACCCCCCTTATCAGGAGCCCTGAGTCAGCACTCGTCTGCTAACTGGGAGGTCAGTGATTTGCATCCACTAGCTGCTCAGTGGGGAGAAAGATACGGCAGTCTGCTTCTGTAAAGATTTACAGCCTTGGAAACACTATGGGGAAAGTTCTGCTTTGTTCTCCAGGGTTGCTGAGTCAAAATCAACTCCAGAGCAGTGGGTGGGTTAATCCCTTACCAGATACATGATTTGCAAATATTTTCCCCCATCTTGATAGTGTGGTTTGATACACAAAAGTTTTTCATTTTGATGAAGTCTAATTTACTCTTTCTTTTGCTTGTGCTTTTGGTGTCGTATCTAAGAAACTACTGCCAAGTTGTAAGGGTGTATGTACCCTTACTTTTTTTTAAAGTGCTTTGTAGTTTTAGCCCTTAGGTTTAGATCTTGGATCTAATTTGAGTTATTTTACCTGTAGTGTAAGGTTAAGGGTCCAACTGAATTTTGCATGTGGTTATTCAGTTGTCCTGCCACCATTTGTTGGAAACTACTTTTTCCCCCATTGAATGGATTCAGCACCATTGTCAAAAATCATTTAACCATAGATGGGTGTTTTATTTTTAGATTCTCAATTCTATTGATCTGTATGTCTGTCCTTATGCTAAGTACCACACTGTTTTGATTACTGTAGCTTTGTGGTAAGTTTGGAACTTGGGAAATGTGAGGATATTATCGCCTTTTACAAATGAGGACACTGAGGCTTAGGGAGTGGTGTAACTGTCTGAGGGTGGAGGGCAGGGGCTGCCCCCAGGCCATGCTGGGAGGAGCAAGGTGGTAGAGGGGTGCAGTAGATGGGTCAGTTGTCCTCCTTCCAGGAGTGAGTAGCCAGGCCTTCCATGTACCCTTCCTCTACCCCTAAATGAAACCAGACCAAACCCACTGCCATCAAGTCGATTTTGACTCATAACGACGCTACAGAATTTTCAAAACTAAATCTTTACTGGAGCAGATAGCTTCATCTTTCTCCCATGGGGCAGGTGGTGGGTTTGAACTGCCAACTTTATGGTTAGCAGCTCAGTGCCTAACCCATACACCACCAGGCCCTGAGCAGCAGGAAAAGGCCCTATCCAGAGCTACTCCTGACTCTGAGGGCAGCAACCACAACCTCCCTCACATGACCCCAGGATCTCCATGCAAATCCCACTGAGGCCCCATATGCTCAGAGGCCTGGCCCACAGAGCTCAGTGCTACCAGGAATTGCCCAGATGGTGGGCAGCCCCCGGCAGCCACTTGGAGAGGAGCCTCTTCCTCCCTTTGCAGTGGTTGGATCGCAGCCGTGTCTACACTGCACCAAGACCCCTTGCCTGTGTCCATCATCATGATGGTGGTGGCTGGCTTCTTTACCCTCTGTGCTGCGCTGGCCGTTGTCCTCCTGAAGCGGGTGAGTTGGGGCAGAGAGGACGGGCCTACAACAGCTATCTTTGCCTGGGGGTGGTCTTTGTCACTACAGTTGTCCAGTGGCTTGATCAGGGCTCTGAGTGGATGGTGTGGGTTTGCCTTCCTGGTAGCCCCTGCATGGCTAGATTCCTGGTGGTCCCTCTTACACCTGCCTCTTTCCCCAGGTGCACTCCCTCTACCGTCGGACGGGGGCCAGCTTTCAGCAAGCCCAGGAGGAGTTTTCCCAGGGCTTCTTCAGCAGTCGGAGCTTCCGCAGTGCTGCATCCTCTGCTGCCCGAGGAACTTTCCAGGGGAATTAACCCTCCTGGCTCTCTGTCCTCCCTTTGCCCCCGCCTTTTTTCTCACCTGCCTTCTGAGCTGCACTTTCTGTGGGTGCCTTATGGTGGTTATGCCCAGCACAGACCTGAGGAGGGCCTTGCGAAGGCCCTTCCTCCTTCCTCAGCAACCAGCTCTCCCTTCTACCTGCAGGGAGTTGAGAGCGGGGAGGGTCTTATTTTTTACATGAGAAAAGAAAAAAAACTAACTTTGTCTGGCAATGGTTTGATAGGGTTCTGTTGTCTCTTTGAAAACTGCAGGACTAAATTCCCCCTCCCACAACACACACACACACACACACACACACACCCCTGGGATCACTGGCTCCTCTGGGTCAACACCACCCACCTACCTTTCCCCAGCCCCGCTCCTGCTGGAGTCTATTTTTCAGGGTCCTGGGACTTAGCTTCTTCCTCCACTGAACCTGGTTCCACAGACCCAGCCCCTCTTTCCTGCCCAGGCTGGCAAGCTTCTCAAGGGTCCCAGTTTGGAGGAGCTGCAGGCTGGATGGGTGGTCAGCTCTCTTCCCCAGATGGCTTCTGGGATGGTCTCAAGGCTTCCAGAGCCTCACCCTGCCTAATTTTTTTAAATCACAGATTCATAGTTCTTTAAGCCCCTGGTACCTACCTGGTGTGGGTAACACTGCGTGCCTTCCCTGATCCCTTCCTGCTTCAGACTCACTGAATGTGCAATGAGGTTGGGATTTAGGGGGTGAGAAGGGGAGGGATAGAATAGAGGTCATTTATCCCACCTTCTGCCCAGCCTTGGGCAGTTTTTAGGAGCATGGGCTCTGACTGTCCTCGTGTGGTTTTTTGACCCTGTTTGTTCTGATTTCCTCTCCTCATGAGGTACAGCTGCCATTTGTCTTAACCTCAGATTTTACCCCTACCCCACCTCCAGCATCAGCAATATTTATCTTGTGTGACCCTTGGGGAGGGCAGGGTGAACCAGCCTAAAACTGCACCCTTCAGGCTTGTCCGACAAACTACTTTTCCCAAAGCTCCAGACTAATCCTTAAGCACCCCCCACACACACACACACATAGACCCCCAGTGGTGTCTAGGTCACCTTTTACTCATCCTGGGGATTCCCCAGGTGTATGCCGGCCATGCGCATACATGGAGTTCACAGTTAGAACCTGCATAGTGTATGGGTTAAGTCTCCTGCCTCAGACCTGGGGCCTGCTCTAAAGTTGCCAGCCTATTCAGCCCAGAGCCACTAAATGATGACAGTGACCGTTTGTAAACTTACAGGATTTCCCCCTCCATGTACAAATGTATATGTTTTATCTCAATTTTTGTGCTTAAATAAAATGACATTTTCAGACAAGACTGGTCCTAGTATCTGGCAGACTTGGGAGGATGGAAGTAGTTCCTAAGGGGTAGGGACTGAGGCATTCCAGCACAGTCGAGGGGAAAGAAAGAGACGCTCTGACTCCCTGCGTGGTCTACAACAGGAGTGATGAGTGGAGGCAACTTCCTCTTCTCAGAACTGCATTCAGAGCTGGGAAGGAGGAAGGTCTTGAGTCGTCTTTCCTCCACTCAAGATGCTGTCTGTGCTTGGGTGAGATTCCCCGAGTTATCGACGCCATCTGCCATAGTCCTCGACTCATCACCGCTGGGCCCTCAGGACTTCAGTATCCTCAAATGGACATGGAGGGGATTGCCTGATGGCATGGTTTCTAGTGCAGAGAGGCATCCTGGAGGCTGCAGCCTTGGGCGGGGCCGCGCCCGTAGCCCAGCCACCCGCCCAGCGCGCTGCACTCCCGGCGGGCGGCGCTGGGGGGCAGCGTGGAGCCCCGCGCTCTGTCGCTGGGCTCTGGCCGCCGGAACCCAGCGCTGGGAACCAGGAAGCACCTGGAGGCGGGCACCGGGCGGCCGGGATGGCAGGGCCCGGCTGGGGCCCCCCGCGTCTGGACGGTTTCATCCTCACGGAGCGGCTGGGCAGTGGCACGTACGCCACGGTGTACAAGGCCTACGC